TATATACACCCTTCAAGTGACTTGTTGCTACTATCTTGTCTTTTGAAATTATAAACCCCGGCACCCGGCTCTTTTAAGAAGCCAATAAACACAGGGCGCCTGGGTGGCTCAGTCGGTTCAGTGTCCGACTCTTGGTTTCAGCTCAGGTCATGATCTCACAGGTGGTGAGTTCGAGCTCCGCATCAGACTCTTGGCCGTCAGCACAGATCACCTGTCCTCTCTCTCTCTCTCTCTCTCTCTGCCCCTCTCCCGCTCATTCTTTCTCTCTCTCTCTCAAAAATATGTGAATATCTAATAAATAAATTAATTAAACTTTTTAAAAAAGAAGCCCACTTCTTCCATCACCGTGTCAACCTGTTAAAGGCAAGATTTCCAACGCATATGACAAACACTTACTGGTGGCATCGGTCTGGACATAGATGATGTCACTCTTGGCCCCATACGTGCGGCGCTCATCAGAAAAGGTGACCAAGGTCTTGACAAAGATGGCATACTGGGTCCAGGGCTTGAGACCCCGCATCAGCCACCCTGGGTGGTTCTGCGACTTGGGGTCATTGGACCTCAGAGGCGGGTCAATGTCCACCACCGTCCAGCTGTTGGAGCCACACGCGTCCTGCCCGTCGAACTCGGTCACATTCTGATAAGGGCTTTCAAGACAAAGCAGGACAAGACGGTTATCATTTCTTGACTATCGCTCTGAGCACGGAGAGACGCGGCGGGAACAGTGACGTCCTATAAGGTTGCGTCCTGTTCATCGACAATCTTATGCCACAAGGAAAAATGACTCAGGTCCCAAAGAGAAGGGACCACTTACTTCCCTTACAGCTCATTTTCCAATTAACAGTTGATGGCTTATTGATAAGACTGTAAGAGAGACTACTTCTCGGCATACATTTTGACACATGATACATCTTCAGAGACGGAATCATGATTAATATGAATACGATCACCACTTCCTTTTCTCCCTTTAAAATTTCAGGACAGGGGCGCCTGGGTGGCTCAGTCGGTTAAGCAGCCGACTTCAGCTCAGGTCATGATCTCGCGGTCTGTGGGTTCGAGCCCCGCGTCAGGCTCTGTGCTGACCGCTCAGAGCCTGGAGCCTGTTTCGGATTCTGTGTCTCCCTCTCTCTCTGACCCTCCCCATTCATGCTCTGTCTCTCTCTGTCTCAAAAATAAATAAACGTTAAAAAAAAAAAAGAGAAATTAAAAAATTAAAAAATAAAATTTCAGGACAGTCAGGGGCACACCTGGCTGGCTCCCCTCGGTCAGTGGAGAAAGAAACTCTTGATCTAAGGGTTATAAGTTCAAACCCCACATTGGGTATGGATATTACTTAAAAATAAAATCTTTAGGGGCACCTGGATGGCTCAGTCGGTTAAGCATCTGATCTGAGCCGTCAGGTCATGATCTCATGGTACGTGAGTTCAAGTCCCACACAGGACTCTACACGGGCAAAGTGCAGCCTGCTTGGGATTCTCTTTCTCTCCCTTTCTCTGCCCCTTCCCCATATGTTCTTTCTCTCTCCCTCCCTCAAAAATAAATAAGTAAACTTTAAAAGAAAATAACATCTTAAAAAAAAAAATTTTTTTTTCAGCACAGTCGTATACAGTGGACCCTTGAACAATACAGGCTAAACTGCATGGACCCACCTACATGCAGATTCTTTACAGCACAGGACTATAAATGCATTTTCTCTTCCTTATGATTTTCCTAATAGCATTTTCTTTTCTCTAGCTTACTTTATCGTGAGAATACAGTCTGTAATACATATACAAAATACGTCTTAATTGACGGTTTACGTTATCGGTTAGCCTACCATCTGGTCAATAGGAGGCTCTTACTAGTAGCTAAGCGTTTGGGGAGTCAAAAGGTACACATGGATTTCTGACTACATGGGTGGCAGGGAGGTCAGCACCCCTCACCCCTGCATTGTTCAAGGGTCAACTATGCTTAAAATGACCAGGTGTTGTTTAGTGGGGACAGAGTTTCAGTTTGGGAAGACAAGAAATTTCTAGAAATTTCTAGACAGTTGCATAATACTGTGAATGGATTTAATGCCACTGAGCTGTATGTACACTTAGACATAATTAAGCGGTCAATTTTATATTATGTGTGCTTTACCACAATTCTTTAAATGCTGGGGAAAATGCCAAAGAGATTTAAAAAATAAATTTTTAAACACCCATGGAGTAGACTGAGCAAATTCTGTTAAGGATATATCTTGGTGAGACGTACGTCTATGCGGCCAAATGGAATATTGCTGTAGGAAACTGGCCAATCTGGACCTTCAAATGAAACCTGTTTCAATTCCTGGTTTTGACAGATGGAGATGTTAGCAACTTCACACGCCATCAACTTGTGAGATGGTCTAAAGGAACCTATGATGGTTATTCCAGAAGGAGGAGAGAGATCGAGGAATCTCAGAGGGGCACATCTGAACACACACACCAGCTGCACACCTCTTAACCTTTCAACTTACGCCTCTTTGTAGAAGAGCATGAAGCCAAGGAGGTCTCGGAAGTCAGGCGGCCAGTACGGCTCCCATTTCAGCAAGATCTTGTCGTAAGATGTCCGAATGTAAGAAAATTTAAGTAGTTCGTTTTCACCTAGGAAAGTTTAAAACCAACAGCAGTATCAGTACTAAAAACTTGTTGCAGCCCGAAGCAGGCGATCCTACATTTCCAAGAGCTTCCCTGAGGAAGGAGATGCCAACCCGCTGTTCCCTTGATGGGTCTCATTCCCATGTGCCTTCTCCCAGTGTTGAGAGGCAAGAACTGGTCGTGCAAGGTGACCCCTACCATCCCTACCACAAGCCAGCGACTTGGCCACATGCTTAACTGAGTACCAGCATCAGCACCAAACTAAGGACAACCGGCCAATAGTTACTGGGAAAAGTGATTTTCAAGAGTAACATCTGTCCTGACGCAATTCTGTCACACATGTGGACCTGCAAGCCTTCCGTGTCCGAAGACATAACTCCAGGGCAAATGCACACATGCCACATAAGTTTAGAGAGCACGCAGATCTTGGAGAGACCGTGCCTTGGAAAGACTAATTCCCTCTGCCTGCGATGCAAGCCCTCCCGTAACCTCCACCCCAACCTTGCTCCCCTCACCCCACCCTGGATTCCCACATTCTGCCACAAGGAACCAACTGCACAGGTGGGTATTAGTGGAAACCTTGGCACTTCAATGCTCAGACATTCCTTCAAAAAAAGAACCTGTCGGAGGAGAGTAGTCACCTAACACTCTCCAGCTACAACAACTGCAGGGTCTGCTATAGCATTTGAGCCGAGGCCATATATAAGGAGGTATCATCATTCATTCATTCATTAATTCATTCATTCATTCATTCAATGCCTATGTGGCATCTTCCAGTATCAGGCACTGTATCTCTGCAGTCAAGAGAGAAGATACACCTGTCCTCACAAAGCCTATAACACACAGAGTTGTTCTAGCTCACTGGGGGGGCAGTGGCACACCCCCTGGAGGCCACCGCCATGTTGAAGGGGGAGGGAAGCCATGCTATCTGGCCCACGGGCTGGAAGGACCAGGGCATCACCACTCACAAGACGCCTGGTCCCCATTGGTCTTCAGGGCAATGTCGTTCCGCTCCTGGCGCCCCTTGGTTCCTGAAACCTCCTCCATCTTGTGAATTTCCGACAAGCAGAGTTTGGGATTATAGTGGAAGAAGAGTTTCCCCTGAGTGATGGTGAGGTTGTGTTTGCTCCAGTCCCATAGCTGCCTCAGGTTCTGGTTGTCCAAGGCATAGAAAGAGTAGTTCCTATGGAAACACACACAAACCCAGTCATACATGGGTTTGTCACCTCCAACGCCAAGGCTGGGGGGCCATGGCTGGAGCTGATCGTGTTCGGTGCTACGTCCCAGTCCTTAGCACTTGCCTGGCACGTGCCCGTTAAGTGTTAAATGAAGGGTGGGAGGAAGGGGAAGGTGAGGAAGTCTCCGTGGCCAGGAAGGTGTCTGTGCTCAGTCGTGTGGGGGAGGAGGGTAAGTGATGGGCTGAGATACGGTTTTGCAGAGGAGAAGAAAGGAAGACACAGCGGCACCTGAGGTGGACCCAGGGAAGAGAACAATAGCCTCTCTGGCCAACAGGTGACAGGCCACAAGACTACAGTGGGCCCAACCCTCTAGCACACGGCATTCCAGAACACAACCAAGAACACCTAACCTTCCTCAGCAAAGGAAGGTTCTAGAACAGTTCACTAACTGGGTTAGATCTGTGCCTTAGAAGATCAGTGGGCCACCAGCACATGACAGATGGGAAAAGGGAAGCATCTGGACCTGTGCTGTCAAGACAGAAGTCGCTAGTCACATCTGGCTACTGAGCATCTGAAACGTGGCCATTCTGACTGTACCGGAAGCAAAAAACACAGACTTTAAAGACTTCACATGCAAAGAAAGGATGTAAAAAATCTTGTTTATCATTGTCCTGTATTGAGTCCACATCAAAATAACATTTCAGATGGAATGCGTTAAGTAAAATACACTACTGGGGCTCCTGGGTGGCTCAGTCAGTTGGGCGTCCAACTTCAGCTCAGGTCACGATCTCACGGTTCATGGGTTCAAACCCTGTGTCGGGCTCTGTGCTGACAGAGCCTGAAGCCTGCTTCTGATTCCATG